TAAAAGGTCCGCCCACTGCAGTCGTGCCCACGCTTGTCCAGGAGTGGGTACGTATAATATACTCCGTCTCCTCGATCATTGTCATCTCCTCCCCCTGCTCCAGTCCCCTCTGTCGACGTTTCAACCTCCTCCTCTTCCACCTCCTCGCTCCTCCTTCCTTTCCAGGGGGTTCGCAGGACCTCCTGAGACCTGCTTGGATCTCTGGCGACCCCTCGAGAATTCAGAGCACATCTGTGGACCTCCAGGGACCTCCTCCTCCTCCTCCTTCTCCTCCTCCCCCTTCCCCCTTTCTGATATCTGGATGGTCCAACTTGACAACTGGCCAGCTCTCCTAGGATAGCCGGGCGGTCATGCTAATATGTGTGTGTCGTTGCGGCAGATGGCCACGGGCTTGCTGAAGCACATTGCCATCTTAGGCGGCCGCTTGCCATGTCAAAGTTCGCTATTTGATGTGGAACATAAGCTCAGGATGAGGATGAGCAGGGCAAACCCAGGATACAGTGGAGACCATGCCAAGAAACACCCTGCATACCTCCAGGGTGCCCTGGGTTTCTTGGGTTTCGATGATTTCGCCATGGAAGGCACGACGTCCCCGCACCAAACATCGATTGACGTCCTGGGGTCTCACTGTACGGTCAGGATGCGGATGACCAGAGCAGATCCAGGATAGATCAACGAGGCTACAAAACACCCTCCCGTCGCACGCCCTCTCCCCCAGAGGCGCTTCTAAAGGCTATTGCTCTCCTTCGGGGAGCTGCCCCCCAACAAAAAGACGAGCACGCCCCATGGGCTCGGAGTGCAGGCGCAAACCTGGCTGGAGAAAGAACTGGCCTGCATCACCCCAGCATTTTCTTTGGGTGGAGGGCACAGGGTGAAATCTGAAATGCCGTTTCGATTGGTTTTCGAGGTTTGAATCTTGCAAGAGGTGAATCACAGGACGGATTGTTTCTCGAGGTGCAAGAGCCCATACGGGTTTCACCCTGAGCCCTCCACCCTACGAAAATGCTCAGATCACCCTGGTAGCTACAGTCAACCCGCATGGCAAGGATGCGCAGCTTTCCAAAGGATACCTTTGCATCCTTGCCCCTTCGGCCCATCCTCAGCGACCTCCGCTGGCCAACCTCGTTCGAGAAACGTCAGCGTGGCCCTTCAGGGCCGTTGGCATCTTGACCGCTCATCCTTTTTGTTACGGGTTGACGCCAAGATGCTGGAGCATCGAGCTCGATGAGATGTCAAGCGAAGGACCGTTTTCAAAAGGGACCGGCCTACATCCCAGCCAGTGCTGCGCACCCCTGCGCTGCGAGCCATGCACCCCGAGGAGGTATCGGGCGAGAGCCCCGTCATGTCAATGAGCCACCCTTCATCCGCGCGGCCGCTGCATCTGAGAGGACTGCGCGTCTTCTCGGACGTCGGAGCCGACTTCCCCCAAAAGTGATTGTTTCTGGACTTCGAGGCCCCGGCTCAAATCACAAAACAACAGCATGAACATGATTTCTCCCAAAGCTGATTGTTTCTGGACGTCGAGGCCCAGAATTGAGGTCTGCGCGCATTTTGTTGATCGGCGTTGCTGGGCCCCCATGCTGGCGCCTCCGGCGCCGCCCCTGGTGCGCTCCGCGCGCCAGAGAGGGGGGACTGCGTTTTCTCGGACGTCCATATCGGCTTCCCCCTAAAATTGTTTGTTTTTGGACGTCGAGGTCGATTTTTCCCACAAAGGCCTGAGAGAATTGTGTTGTTTTCGGAAGTCTAAGAAACCGACTTTCCCAAAAACTCATTGTTTTTGGACGTCGAGGTCGACTTTCCCAAAAAACGGCCTGAGAGAATTCTGTTGTTCTGGGAGAATTTGACGTCCAAGAGCACGCAGTTCTCACATATTTTTTGGAGGTAGATTTCGACTTCCCCAAACACGCAGTTCTTTCAATCTTGACGGAGCCGCCCCTCCCAAGCATACAGTTGTTGCAAGCGTTGAAGCTGGACGCGCGTGGCGCCAAGGCGCATCCTGAACGCAGCTCTCCGTCCTGCGTAACTGCTGCAACAGATGAACGCGAAAGTGCGCAGCGCGTAGGCGAAAGCCACATTTTGAGCACGACTTGTGGTCTGTCCGTTCAGCTGTCCAAAACTTGTAAAATGAATGTGTGCGTGTGGCGCGGAGGCACGAGCAGCATTTCGACAATGACCTGTAATCCATCCGTGCAATTGTCGGGGTCAAGCTTCAGTGCCACGGTGCGTGCGGAGGCCTCAACCGCAACGCCAGATCCGCCCTGCCGACACGTCTGGTGGTGCGACGGCGAAGAGGCGTTGTTAAGGAGGAAAATTTTAGGAGAACGGGGATGAGAAGGACGACGACGCATCGACGGCGGCGACGACGACGGAGAGGGAGGACGAAGGAAAGAGGGGTCCAGTATGGAGGGGGGAATGGTGGAAAGCGTGAGACGCACGGCCGTTCTCAAACGTTTTTCTGAGCGTTCTCCGACGTTCTCGAGGGAGGGGGGCCGTGCAAGGCGACACTGGAGCGTGGTAGGACAGGACGGACGAACACGATTGACTCTCACAGAGCAGGGATAACCCGACTATGCAACTGTTTCGGCATAGCCCCAAGAATGGCGCGTACCCTTCAGGACACGTGCAGGGCCCATTTATATATATATATATATATATATATATATATATATATATCCATTCGGTCGATTCGACGCGATACCGATTCCGACCGGCTCGATCGGATCCGACTTCGAAGTTCGGGAGGAGGGGGAGGAGGAGGAGGAGGAGGACGAGGAGGAGGAGGAGGAGAGGAGGAAGAGGAGGAAGGGGAGGAAGAGAAGGAGGAGGAGGGAGGAGGAGGAGGAGGAGGAGGGGAGGAGGAGGAGGAAAAGGAGGCGGAGGAGGAGGAGAAGGAGGAGGCGGCGGAGGAGGAGAAGGAGGAGGAGGGGGAGGAGGATCACGAGGAGCAGGAGGAGGAGGAGGAGGAGGAGGAAGAGGAGGAGAAATGAGAGGAGGCGGAGGAAAAGGAGGAGTGCGTCCATGAGCCCACTTCATCCTCGGCCGCCAGGTGCGAGCGGCGCGCGCCGCGCTCGCGGAGGGGAACCCGCGGCAGCGCGCGCGCTTCCAGCGCGCGGCCGCGGCGGTGGCGGCAGGCCCGCCGCCTCTCTGGAAGCGCGCGCGCGGGCCTTCGTCGTGGCCTCGGGGGGGCCCTCGGTGGGCCCCAAGAGGGCCCTTGGGGTGCCCTCGAAGGCCCTCAGAAGCCCTCGGAGGCCCTCGGAGGCCCTCGGGGGCCCTCGGGGCCCTCGGAGGCCCTCGGTGCAGTGCAGGCCCATGCCCAGAAACACCCCGTTTGCCTCCAGGGTGACCTGGGTTTCTTGGGTTTCGATGGTTTTGCTAAGGAGAGCGTGACGTGACCACACCAAAAGTCGATGGACGTTCTGGGGTCTCAGGGTTGGGTTTCTTGTGGAAGGTTTCTTGTGGTCGGGCCCCCACTGTAGGAGAGAGGGGGGACCAGAGGGAAAACGAGGGAAAATGAAGCGGTGGCAGGGCGGAGGAGGAGAGGGGGGAGGACCGCCGCCTGGATAGGAGTCTTCGGGGCCTGAGACGGGAGCAGGATTTGGTCAGTCGGGTTCGGGCGTGTGTGTATATATATACATAAATATAAATATACAGATGTATGTTTGACTGACTGGTGGCATACAACTGGGCCAGACACGAGGACCGATTTTTCGCAGCAGCGACTCGTGATTCATCGAGTGGCCACTTGAAAGCCCAATGGGTGAGACTAGATGGTTTTCTGGCGCGCGTCCATTGCCCACGGCGAAGACAATCTATTCGGGCCTGTGGGTTTGAGCACTGGGCCGTTTGGCTTCACGCCAATGGCATCAGTCTCGGGCTATGGCATTGGGGTCTGTAGTCGTCACCTACCTCCTCAGGTAGTCGCTTACATGGGTCTGCTTGCAGAGAAGGTGAGGTGCAAGTTCGCCGACGCCACGGCAGCTTGACGGCCTGCTCTAGGGGAACCTCGTCAGGGATCCGGTGGGCCTTCTCTCGAAGGATTTGTTCAGGGTCTTGGTCTCGGAGGCGGGGATCTTGGGCCACCAGGGGCACGCGGCGATCTAGGAGGCCTCGCGGACGTCGCCGACTTCGAGAGCTCGCTGGACGTCAGCGCGGAGATCCACAGCTTCTCAGAGTTGCCCAAGGAGATCCTCGAAGGCGAGTCTCGGAAGGTTGCGCACTCCATCAGGGTCTACATGCAGGGGGGGGGGGACATGTTGGAGTCAGAGGGAGACGCGATGGAGCTCGCGCGTCGTCACCTGCGCAGAACGGGGTCTCTCCAGGGTCATCGACTTCTCCTTGTCGACAATTTGGCTCTAGCTCTCAGTGCTGGCAAGGGCCGCGGGCGCTCCGCCAACCTCGCCAAGCGGTTGCGGCGCGTCGCCTCGCTGCTGCTGGCTACAGGATGCCGCGCCTATGCGAGCTGGATCCCGTCGGAGCTGAACCCGTCGGATGCCCCCTCGCGCCGCGGCTTCTTCGCGGGGCCGTCGTGGGAAGGCGCTCGCGGCAGCTCAGTCGGCCACCCTGCTGGTGTCCGAGACAGGCTTGGCGGCGCCGCTGACGGCCCTGCGCGCTAACCACCCGAGCTCCCTGGCGGCGGCTGCCCTCGCGCACGCCGCGGCGAAGCACTGCGCGGCCCGCTCCCTCAGGCTACGGAGCTGGCGGCGGGTGGGCGGCCTGTCGTGGGGCAAGGCTCGAGAGTTAGACGTGACCTGGACGGCCTTCCTGGCGCGCCTGGCCCCGGGCGGCTTCGACGCTGCGACGGGCCGCGCGACCGCGAAAGCGGCTCGGCAGCGGCCGCCGCCGCGGGACCCGCTAGTCGCTGGATGGCGGGGAGAAGCTGAAGCCGCCGCGGAGGCGGCTGCCGATCCCACGTCCTGCTGGCGACCGTCGGCGCGATGCTCTCGCTGGGCCAGATCCTGGTCCAGCCTGCGCGGCGGCCGCGGCGGGCGGCGGCGGCTCGCCGCGGCGGCGCGCACCCGCGGGGCCTCGGGGCCGCGCAGGCGCGGAGGCGAAGGTCCGCGGGCGCTGCATCGCGGACTGCTCGGCCCGCAGTCGCGCCAAGAGGACCATGTTTCAGCAACAGACGAATTCGTTGTCGATGGGGGTGCTCGCCTTCGCTCAGGAGATAGACGCGCGCCCGGCCTCGGTCTTCGAGACCGCAGCACTCCTGATGTGCCCCCCGCAGAAGACACCCGCGAAGGAGACGCTATCGTTTCGTGGGCGTCAGAGACCCGCCCTGGCGGCCAGGCGGGCGGCTACCTGGCTCGGGCGCTGTCGGCTGCCCTCGGGCACGCATCAGTGAGGCCGCGTTCTGTCTCCATGTGTTGCGGCTTCGCTTCGTGGCCGATTCTGAAGCGCTTGCGCGATGTAGGATATGCCGCCCTGTTCTTTATCTCAACCAGTATCTGGGGCTCGATTGGTCTCGACCCGCGGTGCGCCAGAGGATCTTGGGGTGGTTTCGGGGCTCGGTGGTTTTGGGCGTTTGGGCCTCTCCCGCCTCGGGCCCTGCCCCCCCCCCCGCCCCCCCATCGGTCTCGGGCTCTTTGGGGGTCGCATGCCACCATGATCCTCGAGTGCCATTTCATGCGGGTCCATGTGCTTGTCGAGTGCCCGTTGAGTTCGTCCCATCACCTTGTGGCCTCTTTCAAACGCGCGCGTACCCTGGCTTCGCAAGCGGCTGAATTATACCTCTGCCAGTGCGGACACATCCTTCCCAAGCACGCCATGTTGCGGGCCTGGAATGCCATGTCGCCCCTGCTTGCCGCGCGCCCTTTGCGCTCGGGCAAGTGCGGGAGATGTTCTGGCCAATTGCTTTTCATGCGAAGTTCTCCGCTCTGGATAAAGTTGGGCGTCCGTTCCGCCGCCTGGAAACAATGCACCGCGTGATTTTGCTGTTTGGGGCCGCCGACTGGTTGGCGAGCAGCGCTGAAGCCCTTCGCGAGGCCAGACTGTCTCGATTCTCTAGGCTTGCGCCATCCGCCGACCGCCGACCCCTTCAAGTTTTCCGGAGCGGTGTCTTTTGGCGTCTGGAGTTGTTGCGGGCGTTTCTTGGTCTTTGGAGACGGACTCCGCAACGGCGCTACACCAGGCGAAGTTTCGGGAAGAAGGGGGTGGAAGGAGAGCAAGTGGGAGGGCGACGATCACCTGAGGGGGCAATCGGAAAAGGATGCAGATGATGATTATGACGAGGAGGACGAGGAGGACAATATGACGAAGAGGACAGAGGGAAAGGAGCAAGAGGAGGATGGAGGAGGAGGAGGAGGAGGAGGAGGAGGAGGAGAAGGCTTTGCGCGGGCCGTCACGCCGCGAAATATCCAATGGTCGGCCCACCCTTGCACCGTGCCAGGATTTTTTTGATCAGGGTGGAAAAGGTGGCGGGCTGGGTCCTGTCCCAGGAATTCTCGACGCCCGCCAGTGGAAAGAAAAAGGGTCACAGAGCTGCCGATGCGGAGCCCCTCTTTCTGGGGCGCTCCACGGCGGCCCGGGGCACTGGGAGGAGCTCCGTCGTGGACAAAATTCGGAAGGGCCTGTTTGAAAAGGAGCTGTGGTGGACGCACGGCGTTGACTTCCAGGCTGCAGCTTTGCAGGCCATCAGCGCGTCAGCCCGTGAGGGGAACACGATCCACGGTGCATTGGACACGGGCGCGCTGAAACCCTTTCGCGAGGCCAGGCTGTCTCGATGACTCGGGATTCAAGCTTGCGCCTGCATGGGATGCCGATGTTCTGTAAATTTGTTCGGCCTGCGGCCATGGGCTGCAGGTATGCTGGGTGCAAATCTGTCGAGTGTGGCAAGAGCGCTGGTGCTGGCTCGTGCGCCCGCGGTTGTGCAAGATGAGACGGTCGCTATCGCCCCGCTCTGCCAAGCATTCTCTGGCGCACGGAACGTAGGGATCATCATCATCATCAGCAGCACCATCATCATTGTCGTGATCTCACGGGTTTCCGATGTATCTTGTGGGCCGCCGCCGTTCTGGTTGCTCAAGTTTTGAGGGATGTGGGAGAGGCTCACGAACCACGCTGTCACAGGGGTGGTTTCCTATCTCACGAGGTGCCCGCAGGTGCCATCTTGTCCCGCCTGTCCTGCGTGCTCCCTGGCGTGCGGGTCGCCAGCTCCGTGCCCAGGGTGCTCGCTGCAGTGCCCAGCGATCCCGCCGTGCGCGGAGGTCGCCCCGGTGGTGTGCCCCTCGCCGCCGCCCTGCCCGACGCCGGCTTGCCCGGCGTGTGGGGCCTGCCCCGCGCCAGAGGCCGCGCCTGCGCCCTCGGGGCCGGAGGCGGCGGCGCCCTCGGCGGCGGCCGAGCTGGCGGGCGACGTCGCCAGCGACCTTCGCTCCCTGGCTGCGGGCCTGGTGGGCGGCGCGCTGGGCTTCCTGCTCGCCGCCGCGTGCGTCGGCTGCTGCTGTGTCGTGCTGCGGAGGGACGCCCGCCCGCGTGTTCGGCATCCTGCTGTTTGTATCAGTGATGGCGGCGGTGGCGACGAGTCGTTGGGTGTACGTCTTCTACGCCGGCGAGGTGGTGTGGCACCAGCACTTGAATCTGGAGCGGGTGGCATTGTCCGAGGCTGACCACGTCATCTACACCGCGGATGGCGATCTCTACATCGTCGCGTTAGCCAACAATGCTGATGTGCAGGCGGCGCGGTTCGGTGCCTTCAACCCGCCGCCTCCGGGGATCGCGGGCAACCAGGTGTATGGGTTCAGAGCCGAGCCGACGGATGCGGAGCTGGCCCAGCTCACCCTGGAGGCGGAGCAGATCGCCACCGCCGAGTGCCGCACCAGAGCAGCCGCCATCGGCAACCTCGGCCTGCTCACCAACCTGCGGCCACTGGTCGCGCCTGCGGGGGGAGCGGCGGCGGTCCCCATCGCGCCCGCGGGCCCTGCGCTGGGCTTGCTGCGCGGTGCTGCCGCGCTCCCCGCTGGGGCGCTTGGAGGTGACCCCGCGGGGGTGTGGAGGGCCGCCGCCTGCGAGGGCGGATATCGGATTGGCGATGAGGTGCCCGGGCACGTTCCCACGGCGGCTCGAGTCCAGGATCGGGACATCCATGTGCTGCCAGACCGCCAGGGCTTGTTCGTGGAGCTGGTGCCGCCAGCCGCCCTCGAGACCTTCTTGCGGAAGGCTGTAGATGCGGACGCCAGGATCCTGCCCATTGTTCGAGATGCGCAGGGTCGCCGCGACGCCCCATGGCACAAGATGGTGTAGATGACCCGCCAGGAGGACTTCGGCTCGGACTGGACGTTGCCAGGCCCCAGGACGGCGGCGCGGTGCATGAGCTACCTTCAGCGGGAGGGCCTTGGCATCGAGGGCCATCACGAACACTTCAGGCAGATCTGCAAACTCTCCGCCACGGATTGGGGAGTTCAGGAACACTACCAGCTGTGCCAGCAGATCAAGGCGGCAACCTGTCAGGACCTCCTAGACGGGACGAGCTTGATCAGCATTGAGATGAAGTTTAGGAGGCTCCAGACCATCGAGTTCGCCTACTGGGACAAGGCCAAGGACGCCGAGAGCAAGGGCGTTGGAGGCAAGATGAGTCTGGAGGAGCAGGCCGCTTTTTCTGGGGTCTCGCGCTCGACCTCGTCGGTGATGGTATCTCCAGAGTTGATCGAGCATGTCCGCGGTGACGTTGAGAAGGAAGCGAAGCTACACAAGAGTCTGCGCCTGGCCCGCGAGGAGCGGGAGTCCAGGCGCAAAAATGGCTGAGCATCAGAGCCGCGCTGGCTTTGGAGGGGGAGCCAGCACGAGTACTACACCCCTCCGTATCGGCGACCCGAGTGGGCCCTTCTTCCCTCTGGACGTCCACGACATCGGCAGGCGTCGGCCCCGGGATATCTTGCCACTGCCCTACCCCTCGTTTAGAGAGCCGCTGGATAAGGCTTCGGTCAAGGAGCTGGCCAGAGGTACGAGGCAAAGGATTGGGCGCAGGCTGGGTGTCTGCAGCGATGTCTATGGATGCGTGGACGCTCTTAATTGGCTTCACGACCCGTCCCTCCGTTGTGGTCGTGACCGTCCTGCACGTTACGTTGGCCCGTCACTCGCCCGGAGCCAGTGCTTGGCCCACATCTCCGAGTCGGTGCGCAACCTTGGTCCGCCGCCGTCGACTCTCTCTCCCGCAGAAGCGCTGGTGCAGCTTCGCGTGGCCGGGGGTGCCTACAATGTCGAGCAGTCGCACCTCGGGAGCTGCGACCCCGCGCTCCTCTCCTTGTCTGACGTCAGTACCGCCCCTGCGCCGCTGGCCGACGCGTGGCCAAGGTCGAACAGTTCGTTCTGCAGAGCTTGATGGATCCGAGCGAGGCCCAAGCGAGGCTGAGGCAGAGCACTATACCTGTTCCCTACTCTGACCCTCTTCTACGTGATCAGCGGTGCTGGTCCAGTTTTGTTCAGTTGCTGTATGAGCGGCACCTAGTCGACTTCAGTTTGGAGGACGGCGTTCGGGCCGAGATTTTTCTTTGTGAAGAAGAAGGGGGGCCGCCTTCGCATGGTGGCGGACTGCCGCCGCTCCAGCGAGGTGTTCACCGAGCCCCTGGGCGCGCGGCTCGCGACGGGCGACGCCTTCGGCATGCTGGAGATGGCGTCGGACGACTCTCTCCTGACGGTGGGGGGTGCCGACCTGAAGGGCGCCTTCTACCACCCTGAGCTGCCCGAGCAGCTCCGTCCGTGTTTCAGGTTGCGACCTGTGCGCGCTGGCGCCCTGGGCATCAAGGAGGTCGGCGGGGTCTCCGTCGGGGCCTCCACCAAGCTCTACCCGCGCCTCAGGGTCGTGCGCATGGGGTGGTCCTGGGCCATGTGGTGGTGTCAGTCGGTGATGGAGCGTGTGGCAGAGGCAGCGGGCTGCGGTGATTACTCACGACTTCGAGATGGCAGACCTGCTCCCTCTTTGGACCCATCGTGTCACCTTGAGTACGTCGACAACTTCGTGAGCATCGGCTACGACGCGGAGGCGGTTCGGTCCGCTGTGACTCGTGTCATGACGGAGCTCAGTCGCCGAGGTCCGGTGGTGACCAGGGAGGAGCCCCTCGGTGACAGCGAGGGCGAGTTTGCGGTGCTGGGTTGGTCCGTCACTGCCGCTGGCCGTCTCTCGGCGTCTGCGTCGAGATTGTGGAGGGCGCGGCTGGCGGTGCGCGGTTTCCTGCGGCGTGGCCGCGCCAGTGGTCGCGATCTCGAGCGCGTGCTGGGCCACATCATCTTCGTCACTCTCGCTCAGCGTGAGGGCCTGAGCATCTTCGAGGCGTGTTTCCGCTTCGTCCAGAAGTGCTACCACCAGCAGGTGCCGCTCTGGTCTCAGGTCAGGCAGGAGCTCATGGCCTGGGATGGTGTCGCCCCTTTGCTATGGCGCAATCTTCGTGCTCAGTAGTCGTGTTCCGTCGGCTGCGTAGACGCCCCCCCTTGGGGGCGGGGCGCCTGCGAGGCTGATTGGGATGTCGGCGCTGTTCGGGAGGTTGGTCGTCGTAGCGAGCGGTGGCGCTATGGCAGGGCTGAGCGCTCGCCTCCTCGTCGCCGCGCCCTCGCCGCCGAATGTGCCGCCGACGGGGTCGCAGCCTGTGACCTTGGGATCGTAGCGGCCCAGCTCGATCCTGGCTGCCCGGCGGAGGACAGCCAGCCCGTCGGCCCGCCTGCGGAGCGTGACTTGCTCGCTTTCCCCGAGGTCTCGAGGAAATGCCTGGACAGGTCGTTGTGGCGTGTCACGGGTCGTCGCAAGTGGGGTCGCCTTGAGGGGGGGCCTGTTCTCGAAGCTCGGGCGGTTCTGTACCATGTTCGACATGCTTTACGGGCCGTTCGGAACCATGGGAAGAGGATGCTTGTCCTGGGAGATTCGCTTGCGTCTGTCTCGGCGGCCTCTCGGACGCGGGCCCACAGCCACGCCATGTTGGGGATCATGCGCCGTATTGGGGCTATGTCTCTTGCGTCTGGGAGCTCCTTCTGTATTCGGTGGATACCGTCCGAGTATAACGTCGCGGATGGCCCTTCTAGAGGCCGAGGAGAACCCAGTCTGCCTTCTGCTGTCATTCTAAAGGAGGGCCTCGGCAGGACCCCGAAGTACAAGGCCGGCCTGGACCCCAAGGAGCACGACCCTCCTCAGGGGCCCCATCAAGGCAGGCTACTTCATGGCCTAGGTGAGGAAGAAGGCGAGCCCCATGGGGAGCCCGATCAAGTACAGCACGGACCAGCACTACACGGATCTCAAGGGCGGGGCCAGCACCAGCACGCGCACGAGGAGGTGGGCGAGAAGGTGGTAGAGGAGGAGGAGCGCGGGCACGATGAGGGCCTCGGAGTGGCCTCGCTGGAGGACGTCTTGGGTGTTCATGGTCCGCTTCACTCCGAGCCGTTGATTGGCCCAAGACCTCTACGTATTCTTCCATATGTTGTCGGCTCTCTGCCTCGTCGCCCTCGTCGGCGGTATTCCTGCCATGTCCGCGGGGCTGCTGCAAGGGGAGGCTCGCAAGCGACCAGCTGCTGCCGCGAGCTTGCCGCGGGCGGGGGCCTCCCTGGCCCGCGGGGCGCGCAAGGCTGGCTCGGTGTCGCCGACGCTGCCAGTGCTCCAGGCATCGCCCGCGAGCCGCCAGGGCTCGAGCGGTGGCCCCACGCCGCAGCAGCGGGCTCGGCTGATTCAGCCGCCAGCGGGCATGCCAGCCCCCAACGCAGCCTCCGTGCGCACGGCGTCGGGGCGTCAGGCTTATCTCTCGATGCTGGTGGGTTTCGACAACTGGACGAGACAGCATCGACGGGCCACGCAGGAGCCTGCTCAGATGGACAGAGCGATCCGCGACTACATCAGCCACCTCTTCGAGCTGGGGTATCACCAGACCTACGCCAACCGTATGATAGCGGCGGTGGCGCGGCGCGATCCGCGCTATGCCAGGGCGGGCCAGTTCGAGCTGCCGCTGCCCAAGCAAGCCGCCAAGGGGTGGCGCAACTTGGCCCCAGCTCGCAGCCGCATGGCCCTTCCGTGCGAGGTCGTCGCCATGGTGGTCAATTACGTGCTCCATCGGCGCGGCGCCCCAGAGGCGCTGGCGATCTGGCTCCTCTTCGAGATTTACGGCCGCCCGGGCGAGATCCACGGGCTTCGCCTGCAGGACGCGGCGCCGCCGGCGCCTTCCGCGCCAGGGGCTCACCGCTACACCTCGGTGACGCTCCACGCGCAGAAGGTCGGCGACGTCTCGAAGACGGGAGAGTTCGACGCGGCGATCCGTCTCGACCTCGAGCGCCAGGCTGGCATGGCTGCGGCGCTGCTGGAGATGGCCGCCGCGCGGCGCCGCGCAGGGGCGCCGCCCTGGGCGCCGCTGTTTGCAGTCGACCAGCGCAGCGTGGCCAACGCATGGCGTGGGGCTGTTACCGCCCTCGGCCTCCGGAGGCTGGGCGCCTGCCACGTCTACCAGCTCCGCCACTCAGGCCCGAGCCACGACTACGCAGCGGGGCTGCGCGACCTCGAGCAGATCAGGCGGCGTGGGCGCTGGAAGAGCTGGAGCTCAGTCCGCAGGTACGAGAAAGGACCCAGAGGTTCTTTGGATCAGCTATATTGATCCGATTCGTTTCTTTGTGTGTTTTTTTTTTTTTGTAACAATATAACTTGAACTGATCGGATTGACGTTGTCTAAGTAAAAGTGTTCGGGTGCATTTCTGGAAAACACCTGAGGCGATGAAGTAACGCGTCTTGTTAGTCAAGTAAGACACTTCTTGCGAGCTGCAATGCAGCATGCCAAAATGGCGACTCAGCACATGCGAACAGCTTCGCAGAACGCCAAAATGGCTATTCGGCGGACCGAGGATCGCATGATGAATGGATTTTTCAAAATACCAAAAAGACTGGATGAGGAGGTACGAGAAGGAGGGGAGGGAAGGGGAAGGACGAGGAAGAGGAGGAGGAGGGGGAGGAGGAGGAGGAGGGGTAGGAAGACAAGCTAGGTGCGCTCGCGTCATATCTGACATCGCCCCCCCCCCCTGCGATCATCCATGACGTAGATATCCATGACGTAGATATCATTCATATAGTCGCACAGTGAGATGTCGAGCGGGACGCCGCGCCAGAGGAAAGAAGAGGGCACGAGTAGGATGCACTAGCAGCATTCGCTGGATTATTTGGCTGTAGTTCTTGTTTGATGGTGTCCTTCTTTCCACCTCCATCTTCCTCCAATCCGCTCCATAGCCATTTTGGCTTTAGTCGTTTCTTCACGACTGGACGTTTCATCCCCGCCACCCCGCGTCCGCTTGACATGTCGGACAAGGGCGCGGAGATCACGAGGTTGCGCCGAGCGCTCGAGGAGGCGAGCGCTGAAGCTCAGCGCACGGCAGATCTGTTGCGGGACAGCGAGCGGTCGTCGCAGAGGTCCAGGTCCAGGGGGGGGGGGGGGGCCAACGTCGAGCAGGTGTTCGAGAGCGAGGTCGTCGTCGGGGCACACGAGCTCGGGGTACAAGGCGCCGATCCAGGCTGCGGTGGAGGCGCCCACGCAGGAAGACGAGCCGCCAGCTGACTGGGGCGAGCCAGCTGGGGAGCCCGCGGAGCCCATCGTGGTGGACGACAGTCTTCCTGAAGATCCTGCGCCTCGGCCGAAGGGGTCCATCCCAGACTGCCCAGAAACTTCAGATGGCGAGCCTGCCAAGGGAGGGCGCGCGCAGTCGGTTACACTCTCGGACGTGGAGGCCGACATCGCTTGCGAGGACGGGGAGACGCTGGATGCATTGACGCAGGAAGCGATCGAGGAGTCGAAAAATATGAGTGAGGAGCAGAGGCTGCAGAAGATTCGTGAGGATAAAGAACTGTCGCGGGCCCTGGAGGCGAGCAGGATGTCGGCGTCGCGAGATCAGATCGCGACCATGGAGGCACTTGGTCGCGAGGACACGCGCTCATCACCAGGGGCAGCCTCAGCGGGGCCGTTGCGGATCAAGCCGGTTGAGGCAGACAACGAGGCAGATGCTGATGAGAAGCGGCAGCCTGCAGCGAAGCCAGATGCTGCTTCAGCGAAGCCAGATGCTGATGAGAAGCGGCAGGATGTTGAAGCCTTCGCCATGAAATACGACCGCTTCCTCAGCACGCCAGAGGCGGAGTGGTGGATGCAGCAGGAGCAGCAGCAGAACCACGCGCAGCAGCATCCAGCGGTTCCATGGGACACATTTTTTGAACTCAACGAGGGGCAGCTTAGGAGTTAAGCATCTTACGAGAACGAGGGAGGAAGGAGAGCATGAGAGCAGTAGTGAGTTTTTTCCCTCCCAGGTTCCGCCCGAGCAGTTGGGGCCCTCGTCGATGACGCCGTCGGCGCCGACGCCGCAGTCGCTGGGCCCGAAGGCTGTCGAGGATCGCTCAGATGTGCCGCAATATGCAGCCCTTGCTTCTACATGCATCGCCTCCGACTCCACTTCCTCCTCAACGCCTTCCTCATTGTTCTTCTGATGCGAGGGTTTGGTATCTCATCCAGCCGCCTCGTCGAGCATGTCAGCATAGGATAAGTGACAGTAAGAGGATGAGGAGGATAAGGGAGGGGGGCAAGAGGAGGAGGAGGAGGAGGAGGAGGAGGAGGAGGAGGAGGAGGAGGAGGAGGAGAGGAGGAGGCAGGGGGCAGGAGGAGAACGCAGAGGAGGACCCAGAGGATCGAGGAGGGGGGTCGGAGGAGGAGAAGGAGGAGGGGGAGGAGGAGGGCGAGGAGGAGGAGGAGGAGGAGCAGGAGGACGCGGGGGTGGAGGAGGAGGAGGAGAGAGGCAAGATGAGGAGGATGTAGGAGGCACCCCTGTGACCCGCAGGAGACGCCAGATAAGCAGACCCGCCCGGAGGCCAAGGGCGCGGAGAAAGTGCTGGCTGGCCTCGCGTACCTTTGTCGCCCTCTTGCTTCTTCTCTGGGGGCGCGGTCAAATCCCATGCGAATTCCTATGCATGGGATTTCGCATGGGATTTGCAGGTGAGGGAGAAAGCGGAGGAGGGGGAGGAGGGGGAGGAAAAGGAGGAGGGGGAGGAGAAGGAGGAGGAGAAGGAGGAGGAGCGGGAGAAGCCCTTGCAATTTCACACATGTTTGGGGTTATCCTTTCTGTTTCAAGTTCGACTCAGCTCGAGTCGGCGCGTTCCCTGGGGCCATTCAGAAATCATGTCAACTCGGGTGCAGGTTCCGAAAAAAAAAAAAAAGAGAGAGAGAGAGAGCGTTCTAGCATTTGCAACACGTATCGCTTGCATATTTTACAGCCGATATTGGTCGTCATGCTACTTCCAAATCTCCAGATCCTCCGAAATGATTTCAACCTTCTTCTTCCCCATCTCTGTTTCACCGTTCCTCTTCATCCTCCCTGTAGTCGTAGTCCTCTTCCTCCTCCTCCTCGCCCTCCCCATCCT